CATCCAGCCACCTCTCACCCATTCCCTGATCTCAGTTCAAGCCCCACCTCTTGCAAGACAAAGTCCCATCCCTCTGTAATGTGCTCTCACTGCACCCTGCTCTCTTTTGTGATATTAAATAAAAATTATAGGAGGCCATTGTTTTGGACAAAGCTAGGCCCCAAAAAAATAGACTAAAAATTAAAATGGAGTCACTTTCACTAAACTAAAACTGAATTTGTTACCAACCTTCGGAGAAATAGAGAGAGAGAGACAATTTCCCAAATAGGTCAGTTTCAATTGGCATGAAAAGCAAGTTGCCCTGCCTTTAACCTTACAAAAAAGGAACCTGATGTTAACCAGTCGGTTATTTTTCTATTATTCTATTTCTTGTTCCTGCCTGACAAGGAAATTAATTTTAAAATAACCAGTTCACTTTGGTTTTGTGTTTCTGCTTTCTTCAGCCCTTTCTATAAAGCCAATCTCCTCTGCCCAGCTTATTGGAACACTGATTATATTTTATGAAATGAAGTGCTGCCCAATTCTAGAACCACAAATAAAGTTAATTAAGATCTTTAAACCTGTTCTGATTTTGTCTTTTGACAGTGGCAATTTTCCTGGACGGTGAATATATATTTATTTCTAGGAGTGTATATTTAAAATAGCTCAGCTACCTAATGTAAGCTCAGGTGGAGAGGGATATGTATGTAGGTTTTACTCACCTGGTATATAAACAAGGATTCAATAACTAATTGTTGATTCAATGAATGACTAGTTGATTTATCCCCTAACAGTGAAAATGGAACTTGCTAGAGATGGGGCTTATTTGAGTTCACTAAAATGAAACAGAAAGGAACTGGAGTCCATTGGAAATGTGAGCCAGGCAGGGTGGAGAAATCTTGGGAGAGAGAAACAGAATTCCTCAGAAAACTAAAGTTAGCCCAGCTTGTTAGTCTAAAGGTCCCCCATATAGGATTGTCCTCCTATCACCTAGAGGACATTGTGCCCAGAAGAGAATACGGCTGATGCTTGAGAGGAGTCTCACTTCAAGCCCAAGGTGATCTGAGTATAAATTAGCAAAATTAGGCAATCCTCAAGTTATTTTTAGTGGGAGGTGCCATTTCAAAAATGTAGACTAAGAGAAAGCCTTTACAGCTAAAAGGAACTTAGGGAGTTCTTCAGGCATGCCCCACCCTAAACTTTCTGCAAGCAGCAATAAACCACACCTCAGCTCATGGGATTACACAACCCCTCTTTGTTTCCTGTTCCATTCTCAGGAAGAAATACTTTATTTGGAGGGCAGAGGGGCGGTGGGTCAAAGAGCTGCCTCCACCCCCAGTCTCAGTTTCTCCAGCCCAGGCTTATGTGCTTTGGCCAAAATAACGCTTGGAATCTGCACTCACAATGTGTCACTTCCCTGGCACTCCTCAGACTCTTGTCCTCAACATAACAGACTCACCAGGCCATCTGACCCTGGGCTGCCTCTCCAGCCTCAACTCCTGCCACTCTTGTCTCCCGTTCCATGTACTCTACAGCAGGAGTGCCCAGTCCCTGGGCCATGGGCCCATAGCATTCCATGGCCTGTTATGAACCAGGCCACATCGCAGGAGGTGAGTGGCAGCTGAGCTCTGCCTGCTGTCAGATCAGTGGAGACAGTAGATTCTCAAAGAAATGCAACCCTATTGTGAATTTCACATGCAAGGGATCTAAGTCATGCCCTCCTTATGAGAACCTAAGGAATGCCTGATTTTCTGAGAGGAAATGGTTTCATCCCAAAACCATCCTCCAACCACTGTCCATGGAAAAGTTGTCTTCCATGAAACCAGTCCCTAGCGCCAAAAAGGGTGAAGACAACTGCTCTATACAACACCCCATGAACTTCTTCCCGTTTCTGGAACTCATTCTTCTACCTGCAGCATTCTTCCCCAACTTCTCTACCTAGCTAACTCTTACATGTCTTCAGGTAGCTTTAAATTAATGTTCCTTTTCCCAGAAGGCCTTCCCTGACTCTACCACTGTGTGTGTGTGTGTGCACATATATACATACACATACGTATATATGTACGCATATACACAAACATATACATTTTTTCTGACCCATGGAGACATCTTGCCCTTTAAATACTTTGGGGTGCATTTCCTAAAAACAAGAATGTTTTTATGTAAACCACCATATAATTATCAAAATCAGGAAACTTGAGATTGTTCAAATGCTATTACCTAACTGTAGTTCATATTCAAATTTTGTCCATTGTCCAATAATGCCCTTTATACTGTTTTATCTCCCTCTAGTACAGGATTCAATCCAGGATCATGCATTACATTTAGTTTTTATTTTTAGTTTATTTTATCATGAACAGTTCTTTTGTCCCTTTCTTGACCATTTGCACTTGAAAAACACAGGCCAATTATTTTCTAGAATAGCTACCCAATTTGAGGTTTTTAAATGTTTCTACCATGAGAGTAACTTGTGTTCTTCTCAGTACATCATATCAGAAGGCAAGAGATGTCAGTTTATCCCAATATTTGTGATACTGTAACCATAATAGGTCCACCACCCAATGTGTGCAGCAGGTCAATATGCCAAGATGTCAAGTGGCTGGAGAAAGAGGTTTAATATGAGGGCTGCTGAATGAGGAGATGGGCGGAAACCTCAAATCCATCTCCATGAGGAGTTTGAAACTAAAGTTTGTAAGAGTTTTAGAACAGGCTGAAGAGTGAAGATTGTTGATTGGTCAAAGAGTGCAGAGTGAAGTCATAGGACAGACAGATGAAGCAACTGTGTCCTCATGCTGATTCTTTTCCTATGTGGGATCTTCAAACTGGTTGGCATCAGCTGTTTCACTGGACTTTAGGATCTGAAAAACATCTTAAGTAATTCTTAAACAAAAACCCTATGATTCTAACATCAGACACTCAATCTTAAAATTCTCATGACTCTAATGTCAGAAATCCTATCTTCAGGAGCAATGAGGACACAAATGGTCAGGATCTAGTAACTTTCAGTTACAAGGAAGTAGGTCAAAGTACAGCCTGATTAATGCTTAGTTATAACTCCATTTCTGTTCAGAATTCTTGTTAGCCCTGTGAAGAAAGCTTCAATACTTGCTTTGATCTCTGTTATAAGGTGGTGTATGCCACATTTCTTGACTAAAAACTGATGCTTTTTATTGTCATAATGAATAACATTGGGGGAGTATACTTTGAAACTATAGAAATATTTAGTTCCTCATCAAACTTTCATTCACTATTTGGCATTCAAGTTATAACTGCTTTATTTTTAAGGAAGTTCATTTCGCATGGTTAAAAAACATAAAGACTATTCTTATGATAAATGGCCTTTTAATCATACTCCACCTAAAATAACATTTCCCACCACATCAATCCAATCTCTTCATTTAAAAAGATCTTACCACCTAATAGTGAGAGAAATCTGATATGGATGGCATTAACCAAGGCAAGATTTCCCATTTGCATGTTCAATGCTATTCATGAATTATCTTTTCATTTCCTTTCCCTTTGCAGTAAAAAAGAAATCCATGAAGGTGCATTTTTTATAATAAAAAAGAAGATATACAATATTATTTCCCACTTGCTAAATGTCATAATATTGCTTTTGGTCACATTATGATAGGAATCCCTAATTGCATTTACCTTTCCATGCTTGCTACAAGGGCTTACTTAGTCTCTGAAGAGCTTCCTGCAGCCCTGGGGTCTGTGGATTGAAAATTGGTTGGATTGATGAAAGCTATGAGGAGAATTATGATGAGGGTCAGATCATATGGGCCTCAGGAAATAAAAATATTACCATTTAAACTAGAAATAAAACTTTTTTCCTAAGTGATCATATCTACCATGACAGGCTGGGTTATTCACTGTTAGATTAACAGTACTTGACATTCACTCATTCACTTAATCAAAAGAAAATTATCCTACGAGCCTACTATGTGAGAAGGACCATTATATACAACTTCTAACTTTATAAAATGTATCTTTGAATAATATCCTTCTGGATCTTTAAGCAAAATGTCACCAAAAAGAACCTTGAGTTTGCTTATAGGCTTTGTTCAAAAGAGCTCAGAAACTGGAAACTCCCAGGTAAAGCAGCATTTCTTTGCTACCTGGGCAGATCATCTGCTTGACCGAGTAACTAGTTTCAGAAACCACCTAATGGAGTGGAGAGAAGGGAAGGGATCCCCTAGCCCCAACCCCAGCCATCTAGATTAAGAAAAACCAGTTGGCTGGACAATAGCACAGCCCAATCACCTCATGGTCAAATTTCCTAGGAAAGAATCTGTCCCCTCTATTCCACTTATCACTCTCCTTTGAGGTTCTGGCCACAGGTGAGTTTCTGCAAAATGTCATCAGTATCAGAAAATGTTAAAGCCAAAGAAAATGAATAGATACGTTTTCCTTTGTTTTAAGACGTGTCCCAATACATTTTTCTGTACCATCCAATTTGTTCGTCCCAGAAATCTTGTGGGAAAAGCATAGTAAGAAGATTGCTCCTCATTTCACAGTGAGGAAGGTGGAGATCAGCTAAAGGCAAAGAAACAGCTCCACACTAGGACTGAACCAGAGCTAGACTTCTGACCTGCAGGATCACAGCCCAGCAAGCCATACTGTAGCCATCCCTGACAGCCCCAGCTCGACCAACAGCACGTCCCACCCACCTCAATGCTCCCATGGCACACATCGCAGTATTAGGAGCATGTTATTGCTGTGATTATTTGTTTAGTGAGACCCTAGAACATAGGGATTCTAACATCAGAAACTTGATCTTAAACAAAATCCTTATGACTCTAATGTAAGAAATCCTATCTTTAGAAACAACAGGGACGCAAATGGTCAGGATTTAGTGATCTTCAGGTACAAAGAAGTAGGTCAAAGTGTGGGTTGAGAATATTTTCAGTGTCTTCCCCGCATGGGTGGTCAACCAGTGAACAGGCAAACATGCTGCATGCTTCTCCTAAACATAGTTTCTCCTGTGTCTGTTTTCAGACCTTAGCCTGCCGCTGGAAATGGCCCTCTCCGTGGACTCATCATGGCATCGGTGGCAGTGGAGAGTCAGAGATGGCATCTCCCATTGTCCATCAGAAACCACACCGCTGCTCTCTCCAGAGAAGGGGAGACAGAGCTACAACTTGACACATCAGCGGGTCGTGTTCCCCAACAACAACATATTCCATCAAGATTGGGAAGAGGTCTCCAGGAGATACCCCGGCAACAGAACCTGCACAACCAAATACACCCTCTTCACCTTCCTGCCCCGGAACCTCTTTGAACAATTTCATAGGTACAGATCCACTTGTCTGAACAAAACCCCCCCTTTTTTTTAGAGCGTGAGAGAGAGAGTCTCATTTTGTTGCCCAGGCTGGAATGTAGTGGTACAATCTCGGCTCACTGCAACCTCGAACTCCTTGGCTCAAATAAGCCTCCCACCTCAGCCTCCCAAGTAGCTGGGACCACAGGTGTGTGGTCCATACCTGGCCATTTTTTGTGCTTTTATGTAGATATGGGGTTTTGCCACGTTGCCCAGGCTGGTCTCTAACTCCTGGGTTCTAGTGATCTGCCTGGGGTTACAAGTGTGAGCCACACCCAGCCAACAATACTTATTGTAATCAAGTATTTGCCACTTAGATAAACTCAGAGATGCTCCCCTCTGGGGGCCACCTTTCCTTTAATATCCAAATGCATTTATCTTAAGAAGTTTCTGTCATTCGTTCCTTCATTCAGCCAATATTTTTGTCAGGGTTCTACTCTGTCTGAAGCCATGGGTTGAGAGCGAGAGATACATAAGAAAAATAGAAAGGCAGAGAGATAGTGTCCTTATTGAATATATTGTCTAGTAAAAGAGACAGACATTAGTTTTTTAATTGTATAAATTGATATAAAGTTGTAACTAGAAAAGATACAACTAAGAAGTTGTATCTCTTCTAAGAAGAGGTATGTGGTGCTATTATAGTGAATAATAAGGAAATCTTGCCTAGTTAAGGAAGTCAGGGAATTGAAGTATAGCCTGAAAGAGAGACAGCATTACCTCAGTGAAAAGGGACAGAGAGAAGTCACCAGAATGTTCCTGCAAAGGCACCACGGCAAGAGAGAGCAAGATGCACATGGAAAACTTAAAAACATCAGCAACTCTTTTGAGATAATGTATGAGATCATTATAAAATATGTGCTTACGTATCCTCAGTATTGTAATTATTATTATAAGTGACTGTTTACTGCTTTGCTTCAGAGCCTTCTACTGTGTAACACACAAATGTTATATATACCATGTAATTTTTATGGGAGCCCTGTAAAGTCAATAATACTATTTTGTGCAAGAGGAAATAAGCTCAAAAAATCACACAACTAGTAAATAACAGGAACAGAATTTAAATCTAGATGGTTTTCCATTTCTGAGAATAATCATCTCCAGTCTCATCCATAAGGATGACAAAATGCATTTTAGGGACTCGGGGAAAGGGTGGGAAGGGTTAGAGGGATAAAAGACTATAAATTGGGTGCAGTGTAACCCCGTGGGTGATGGGTGCACCAAAATCTCACAAGTCACTACTAAAGAACTTACTCATGTAACCAAACACCACCTGTTCCCCAATAACTTATGGAAATAATAATTAATTAATCAACTTAAAAAATTGAGATGGGTTTGGCTTCAAAGCCATTACCATAATGTTTAAGTGATCCTGAAAAAGAATGTCTAGTTGATAAAAGCCAAACAGTAGGGAAGAAATGGGGGAGAAAGTACACTTTTCTTCTCCACAGTGTTTATTCATACTTCGCTTGCCCTTCCAGATGGGCTAACCTCTATTTCCTGTTCCTGGTGATTCTGAACTGGTTGCCCTCCATGGAAGTCTTCCACAGGGAAATCACCATGTTGCCCTTGGCCATTGTCCTGTTCGTCATCATGATCAAGGATGGCATGGAGGACTTCAAGAGACACCGCTTCGATAAAGCCATAAACTGCTCCCACATTCGAATATATGAAAGGTAAGAGAAACCATCCCTGTGTTCTCTCTTGCAATTGGGTTATGCAAACTCATCAGCAGAGCCTAAGGATGAGCCTCTTGTCTTATACTATATTTTCTTAAATTATTTAATGCACTGATTCTCAAGTGGTGGTGATTTTGACCCCTAGTGGGCATTTAGTAATGTCTGGAGACGTTTTTGGTTGTCATACTAAAAGTGGGGGGGTTCTACCGACATCTAGTGGGTAAAGCCAGGGGTGCTGCTGAATATCCTATGATACACAGGACAGCCCCAGGGAAGAATTATTATCCAGTCAAAATGTCAATAGTGCTGAGGCTGAGAAACCTTGTTTTAAGTTGTGTAAATACTCATGTTATTAAGCACACACATGCGGTATTATTAAGGGTAAGATGAAAGCTTAAGAATTAAGCTCTAGGGTGGCTGGATTCTCTTGGGAGACTAAGTTCAGGAGAAACTCTTTGGAGGATGTCAGACAATGTCTCCCAAACCAAGAAAATGTCTGCCATTTTAAAGCCTCCGTTTCTTAAGTTAAAAATTCTTGCTTTTAGAACAAGGTAGGTTTTAGGACCCAGAGTTGGTACATCTGTTCTTGGCTGCCCAGGGTGGAAAAGGAAGACACCTGTGGGTGACGTCTACATTCCAACAGGTGGAGTCTCAGATGAGTAGAAGGAAGTGGCCTGGTGGACACACACCTGTTCACCGCAGGCTGCTTCCTTGTCATGTTTCTCCCCTGGGGTGTGCAGCGTGGCTTTTCATTTCTGGTATCCTTCTAAAAGAAGAGAGAAAAGTTTTCAGCAGAGAAGGCAAGTAAAAGATGAAAATTAAATTATGAGAATTAAAAAGACAACACTGAGCAGAGATGAAAAAGGAAGGGAGGAAAAGGTGGAAAGGAAAAGAAGACAAGAGGCGAGTGGTGGTGTCTAACCTGCCCTTCGAAGGGTGGTCTCCCAAAGAGAGCCCCAACAGACAGCACCGTGGGAACCACATCAAGACCAGCAAGTACACCGTGTTGTCCTTCATCCCCAAAAACATTTTTGAGCAGCTGCACCGGTTTGCAAATCTCTATTTTGTGGGCATTGTGATTCTGAATTTTGTCCCTGTGGTCAATGCTTTCCAGCCTGAGGTGAGCATGATACCAATCTGCATTATCCTGGCAGTCACTGCCATCAAGGACGCTTGGGAAGACCTCCGGAGGTACAAATCAGATAAAGTCATCAATAACCGAGAGTGCCTTGTCTACAGCAGGTAAAGCAAAAAAACTCCAGGGAAGTCTTGGGGCCCAGCTCGATCTTTCTATGGCTGCTACCACTGCAGTTACTGTTTGTAGAAGGGATGGAGTAGGGAGAAATCATTATTTTATTTCAGGGAAGCTGTTCAGTTCTTTGCACTGAGGATTACAGCCTACAATCCAAAAAAAAAAAAAAAAGGCTTGAGTCAGTCTTTTAAGATTAGGAGGTCTTTATTATGTGTAGCATTTTCTTCGCTGTTTCAAATGTGTCTAACATTGAAGAATTTTGTATAGATTCACATCTCTTCTTAACCCAGTGTGGCCATGAGCACCTTTGAGGCTGTTTGAGGACACTGGGAGAGAAGAGGCAGCACTGTTTTTCTGGGGAGCGATGGAGTATTGTGTTGGGAGAGCCGGGAGACACGCTGCCTGGTTTGAACAGCCTCCAGTACCTACTAACTGCATGACCTTAGACAAGTGATAGAACCTTCTCTGAAACTCACTTGGTAGTTCATAAAAGTTGAACAATTCCTGGGGTGGATGTGAGGCTTGCAGGAGATAATTCCTAGAAAATGCTTAGCACTGTATCTGACATACAACAAATGCTCAGTAAATGCAAGCTGAAATTGCATTATTTTTAGAATGTAAAACCCAACGTTTCCTTCATCACTAACTCTCTTTTTGAGAGTTCTCTCTGATGTTGTCTCAACGAAAGCAAAGGCTGCACACAACCTGTCCTGAGGCTAAGAAACCTTGTTTTAACTTGCATAAATGCTCATATTATTAAGCACACAGGTGCAATCTTATTAAGGGTGAGTTAAAATCTTAAGACTAAAACTCGGCCGGGCGCGGTGGCTCAAGCCTGTAATCCCAGCACTTTGGGAGGCCGAGGCGGGTGGATCACGTGGTCGAGAGATTGAGACCATCGTGGTGAACATGGTGAAACCCCGTCTCTACTAAAAATACAAAACATTAGCTGGGCATGGTGGCACGTGCCTGTAATCCCAGCTACTCAGGAGGCTGAGGCAGGAGAATTGCTTGAACCCAGGAGGCGGAGGTTGCGGTGAGCCGAGATCATGCCATTGCACTCCAGCCTGGGTAACAAGAGCGAAACTCCGTCTCAAAAAAAAAAAAAAAAAAAAAAAAAAAGACTAAAACTCTAGGGTGACTGGATGATCTAGTGTCATTAGACATTTATTTAATGTCATTTTATACATGTCATTGTTCTACAAGGATTCCATGGAGCAAATGACTAGGTTGTCAGGACAGGACATGCTCTCACTTGGCAAGGAAAGAAGACAGTTAAAGTGTGTCTCAACTTTGTGACAACCCACATAGGCCTAAAAGAAGCAAGGGAGTTGAGTCTGGGCTCACAAAGAGACTAGAGAGACAAAGCACCTTCAGAGCTAGCAGCTGGCAGCCTAAGATGATCAAGTCTCTAGGAGGTAAGAGCTTGACTTCTTGCTGTAAAAGGAAAATATCCATGTCTCACGAGCAGCATCCTGGGTGAGGTTTTCCCTCTGACTCTCCACCCCAGTTTAGCAGATGTTCCATGCTGGCTGTGGTCTTTGTTAGAATGAAAGAGGCTTGCTTGGAGGTATGTACTCCAGCCATTTAGAAACTGCTTGCTTCTAAGGAGGGGATCTCTTCTCCAAGGGAATGAAAGCTGGCCAGCTTGGAACAGGCTGCTGAAAGGATTTATGAGCCAAACTCTACTTGGAAAATTGTAGCCAGGGGAACCTCCAAGATGAATATCTAATACAATGACTCTTTAGATGGTATTTAACAATATTATCAAGAATCCCTGCAAGAAACTCTGTGTTCATCCCTCAGCAGCAAATGAGCTTCTAGTCTCTTTGCTTGGAGGGACACAGTTGCATGTGTAGAAAAATTATTCTGAAGGGGGCGAGCATGGTGGCTAACACCTTTAATCCCAGCACTTTGGGAGGCCAAGGTGGATGGATCACAAGGTCAGGAGTTCAAGACCAGCCTGGCTAAGATGGTAAAACCCTGTCTCTACTAAAAATACAGTTACTCGGGAGGCTGAGGCAGGTAAATCGCTTGAACCCCGGGGGCAAAGGTTGCAGTGAGCCGTGATTGTGCTGTTTCACTCCAGCCTGAGCAACAAGAGCAAAACTCTGTCTCAAAAAAAGAAAGAAAGAAAGAAGAAAGAAAAATTAATCTGAAGGGTAAATTTTTTCAGCTATATCTAATTGTCTTGAATTATATGAGCACACTGGCCATCAGAGTTAAAATTTAGTCTTTCCTCACCTTTGAGTATGAAAGTTATGAAGAGAGGATGAAATCACTGCTGGGTATGATGCCTTTCTTTGAAGAGGTGGTTTTTGAGAAAGCGTTGTTTTTCTTTTGGCATCGATCTATCATCACTTTTTGTTTTCCACCTTTCTCTCTTGGTTTTTGTTTTGTTTTGTTTTGTTTTCTACGTGGAATACACACAGTGGTGAGCCAGGAAGCTGGTTCCTCAGGGAGGAATGCACGTGGGCCGCAGTGAGCCTGGTCCCGTTCTTCTCGCTCTGCCAGAACATCACAGAATCTTGGCCTTGTTCTTTGGAATAATCTCAGTGTGGATTAGACCACAGGCCCACCTGTGCTGGGAGTTGGCTGGAACTCGGCCAGGCCGCTGTTGTTCTGTTCTCAAAACAGCTTCCAGGGAACATCAGAAAACCGAGATGATAAGAATCTAGAAAATAGAAACATTCGTCCACCAGCTCACTGGTAGGAAGGAACATGGAGTCTTCATGGCAGTATTTCCCAAAGTATATTCAATGGAATGACAGTGACAAAGAAATAGTCTCTGAAAAAGTATGTGCGTGGCCAAATCGTGTATGCTGACCCTCCTCCAATGGATCCATAGCGCATGAAGGACTAAGAAAAGAGACAGCAAAGAAACCTGTTTACCTTTGATTAACTCAGTGTTGCTTTAAATTTACTGGACTTTGGAAGTGTTTTTTAATATCTATGTTTGGGAATTTTTACTTTTTCAAGTATAGAAAAATAATTGACTACAGGGTCCAGATATGTAATTCGATTGACTGAATATTTTCTAAAAAGCAACATGACTTATGGACTGATAAATGACCAATGACACTTGGCATCAGTGTTAGGATACAATAGGGAACAGTGGTGACTGTGGCAAAGTGAAGAGGCCATGCATTCGTCCCAGGAGGCAGAGCTGACCACTTAGCTCCTGCTAATCATTATTTTTGAGAAATGTATTTGCAGAAATATAGGCCTAATGTTGCCAGAGTGTCTCAACTTTATTTGAACAGCCAGAAATTAATATTTTTTATTAATATTTTTATTTCAAAAAACCTGACTTTTAACTGATTTTAGAATATTGGGTAACTGATGTAATTTTTTCAAACACTTCAGACCTATATTTTATTGAACCTAAAGCTCTATATTGCTTATGAGCGCAAAAACTTGCAAACTTTGCTTCAAAATATTCTAGAAATCTGGAGTCTCTGTGAAAGAACAATAAGGTTCTTTTTTTGTTGGTGCTTTTTTCAGATGGATGGTGGGGGCGGGGTCTTGGTATACATTGCCCAGGTGGGTCTAGAAGTGGCTTGAGCACTCCTCTTGCTTCAAACCCACAAGTAGGTAGAATTTCAGGCATGCCATCACTTCTGGCCCTAGGTTCTTCTTTTGAAATTTATCCTCAAGGGACAGAGAGGGGGTATGACCTTAAGGTAAGAATGCAGGCCTGGGAGGCCTGTAGTCTAGGCCCAGAGCTCAGACTATTAATAGCTTA